TTTAAGACTTGTGGACTTCAACTCCCAGAATTCCTCAGCCAACAGACCAGGGGCCTCCAACCTCAGTCACTTTACGACTTGTGGACTTCAACTCCCAGAATTCCTCAGCCAGCTCTGCTGGCTGAGGAATTCTGGGAGTTGAAGTCCACAAGTCTTAAAATTGCCAAGTTTGGGGACCTCTGATTTAGGAGAATATATTTTAGAATGGAGTAGAAATGAGAAAGAACAGAATACCCCCCTTTTCTCCCTAACACTTTTTATTCTAGTAAATTGGACAGCGTATTCCATCTGGATTTGCAGGCATTTGGCAAGCTAAGTGCAATTTTCAAGACCCAACTTCCCCGCTCTGCCTATAGAGAAAAGTTTCCGATCCACGCGTGCTGCCGGTTCCGACATGCGGGTGAAACACGGACACGAACCGTCACAATTGATACAAAAGCAAGGAAGGGCGCAAAGAGAGGAAACTGGGTGAAACTAGGCTTAATGTGGGGGGTCCCTGGTGCTCTCTTGGCTTGGTGATTTTCTTAAAGACATTTTAGGATCCAACTAGGGAACATTATCAGTGCTAGAAGGGAGTGGGGTTTGTGGAGGAGGAGGAGGAGGAGGAGGAGGTGGAGGAGGACGATGACAACAACGGCTGTGGGGTACTTGGTGCTCTCTCAGCTTGATGGCTTTCTTGCAGATGTTTCATTACCAAACTCAATAACATCATCTTCCCAACTAACACTGATGATGTTGCCTAGTTGGGTCATGAAACGTCTGCAAGAAAACCATCAGGCTCAGAGACCACCAAGGACCCCACAGTTCTCCTCCTCCTCCTCCTCCTCCTCCTCCTCCTCTTCCTTTCTAGCACTGACGACGTTCCCTAGTTGGGTCCTGAAACGTCTGCAAGAAAACCACCAGGCTCAGAGACCACCCAGGACCCCACGGTGTTTCTCATCCTTGGCAGCTTGAAGCGGGGTGACTCCCAGAATCCCCCAACCCGCCAAGAGGCAGGGAAAAGAGCTTTTGTAGCCCTCCACAACTTGGCTCAAAAACTTTTTTGTCAATCCAGGAAGAAGGACATCGACGTGTCACAACCGCTCAGGAACCTTCCAAACGCCCAAAGTCACCCCTTTATTTTATTTGTTTAATGGCATGCAATGCAATTCTTATATAGCACACACACACACACACACACACACACACACGCACACAGAGCCTTTCTGTGCCTGTTTATCGGTAGGCCTGAGCATCAGTGAACCCAAGTCTGACCCAGTGAACGAAATTAAGCCAGAAATCCTTGGCAGAGAACTACAGAAGAAGCAGCTGAGCCAAAGGTCCCAAAGTGACATCTTTTGGGAAGAAATGGGTTGGGGGGGGGAGCAACTTCCACCCTGGGCCACAAATTTCAGAGCAGACCTGGTGGGCAGGTGAGTCTTGGGGAGGGAGGGGCCAGGGCTCCCACAAATCCACCCCCATTCGAATCATGAGTCTCTAGCCGCGTCCCTCAGAGTAAATCAAACTGATGTATTAGGAGTGACCATGTCGGCGTTACCTGGGTGCAGCCCACACTAAAATACATCCTTCGTTTCCCCCTTGACCCCGGCCTTCCTCCCACCCCCCTGGATGTACATTCTCCACTGGGACACATCCCTAGCCAGGAATCATCAGGAGGCTGTGAGTTCTAGTCCCCTGCCTTGGGCATGAAAGCTGACCGGGTGGCTTGTGGGCCAATCTCTCAGCCCGACCCACCTCACAGGGTTGTTGTTTTTGTTGGGGGGGGGGGAAATAGGAGGGGGGAAAAAACAGGCCTATTGGCCACCTTGAGTTATTCACAAAGACAATCAAGGTTGGAATGCAAATTAAAATAGAATTAAGAAGGGAAATAAAAAGAGTAAAATAAAATAAAATGACAAATGAAATGAGTAATAAAATCACATAGAGAAGTGGAGTGAAATGAAGTAAAATAAAGTAAATAAAGTAAAATAGTAAAGTAAAATAAAATAAAAACATAATAATAATAATAATGATAGATAATATAATAATAATAATAATAATAATAATAATAATAATAATAATAATAATAATAATAATAATAAAAATAAAAATCAAATAAATAATAAAAAATAAAGGGACGGAGGGAGGAAGGGAGGAAGGAAGGGGAGCAGGAGGAGGGAGGGAGAGAGGGAGAGAGGGAGGGAGGGAGAAAGAAAGGAAGGAAGGAAGGGGAGGAGGAGGAGGAGGAGGAGGGACGGAGGGAGGGAGGGAGGGAGGAAGGAAGGAAGGGGAGGAGGAGGATAAGGAGGAGGAAGAAAGGAAGGAAGGGGGGGAGGAGGAGGAGGAGGAGGAGGGATGGATGGAGGAAGGA